AACATATACAGGGGAGAGCAAAACCTGGGGTCCAAGCACCAGATCAGCCAGAAGGCAGCACCCCTGGAGCCTCAGCCTGCTGCCATTTAGGCATATCAGCATCAATCTTTGGGCCCCAGGATTTGAACCAACGACCTTCCAATGATGAGCACATAACCAACCCACTGAGCTACACACCATAACCCATAGTCAAAACCTTAAGACAGCATGAACCTCTGCCCCCTACTGAGGTAGTTGAAGTGCTCATGTGCTCGTAAGCAGTGCCCATGTCAGCTCCTCTGTAAGGTGGGTACACAAGGAAGACAGCAGGCCACTCAGAATATAACCTTAGGCAGTGTAGAACAGATGTGATTCTTGAGTAGAAACTGCAAATACTGCATTACTGTTGAGGAAAGTGCAACTGGACATACTGGGTCATGTTTCTTGGGGACGGGGATGATAGAGGGCATGTTGAAAAACACTGGTATTCTGGCTTGGGACAGCAGGTTAAATATATCTAAGAACACTGGAGCTGGTTGGTCAAAGCAGGCCTCATTCAGGAATGTCATCTGGTGTTTCATTCATGCCAAGTTGGGGGTTTTTTTATGTCATAAAAATGCACCACAAGCATTCAGTAAGTTTTCAAGGTGCTGAACCTTGGCGATGGTACCTGGTGTCAGCAAGGCCATCTGCGTGGAAATGGAATTCTTTGGGACCCAAGTTCTTTCTGAGCCACAAAACCTTGTCAACCTTTATGCAAGTTGTCATTTGTTTATAAACAATGTTTACGTCTTCACCACAGACCCAGATTTGGTACCTTGTTTATACTGCTTCTATTTTTATAGTAGAAATTTCATCAGCAAGGAGTAAACTCATTTTACTGAAAATGCTGCCACCTTCAGATGGGTAAGTCATATACAGTATGCGCCTTATCTTAAGACAACCCTAAAAAGCCTACAATATTTACAGTCTTCCAGTCTGTAAATAGATTTCTACTGCTGCTTCATGCCAAAGATCCTGTTTTCTGCTCAGCAGGGTATAAATCAGTAATTATTGTTTAGTGTTAAAATGATATTTTAGTGTGAAAGTGATCATTTTTTGCTGGAGTTTGTTAGGGTTAGCTATCCTTTGAGCAGCAGAATGTGACCTGCCTGCAAAATAATTTGTATCACCAACTAATTTTCAGAGGAAGTTGCTACGGGCAGGTCCATTTGTTGCTAAATGAGATTTGATGCCTATTACATGATGACATTATTATGTAATGATGCAAAACTGCATTATTACATTGAGTACTCAACAACATACTGTCACGTCCCTGCCCACTTCATTTGTTCAACCCTCTTGTTTCCCCTCGGGCGTGGCCTCAAACATGCCCCACCCGATGTTTATGAGCCTTACCTTTCCTCCAGCACCCAGGTGTATGGCTCTAAGATGTGTCTTGTTAACCCTAGTCAGTGATTGTATTTAAGTTCCACATAGTCGTGTAGTCCTGAGTTCTGTCGTTTTGCTTGTTCCCTGGACTGCTTAATGAATGCCCCAATCACGGGGTTTCACTGCATCAGCTACATTGTGGGTCATGCTTCTCCCTGCCGATGTGACAGAATGATCGAACTCCATAAACGAACCAACAGTTGTGTTCTGGATTCACCAATCCCACTCTGGATGTGCTTGCTTGCCCCTTGCCCTGGTAACGATTCTCTCCTTGACCCGGCATCCTACAATAACCAGGAAGAGCCCTGGGGATCGTCGATTTGGTGAGGAGATCATCTAATCTCCTAAGAGGAATGGATCCGAGGAGTATGAACTTGACCCTCCATCTGCTGATTCCAGGCCCCTGGAGAAGGCTCTGCCAGCCATTTCAGTGCAGAGCCGACGCTGCCTTGTCTGCCTCTCCAGAGCCCCACGAAGACGCTTGGCTCTCTGTGTCCTCACCATACCGGACTGGTTTTACCTTGTTTATCTCGGCGACTAAGCTTTTCACCCTTCAGGAGCTGTACTAGAGGCTGGTGGATGATCCCCTCACTCAGACTTGTCCAGAGGCAACGGACCTGCTGGAACGGATTGACCGGGGGGATGGCAGCCATTACCCCGCTCTCTTCCTCCCAGGAGTTGCAATAAATTTCCGACGGGAAAGGGAGGTGCGTCACCTACTGAAAGAGGCAAGCATGCGATCCAGTCCATCGCATCGCTCTGACCTCTTTTCACCTCACCTCCCATTAGAGTTGCAGCAGGAGGACGTGCTGATCGCAGGAAATGAGGAAAAGCAGGCACCGTCTCGCCAGGGCCTTCCACGTGAAGTCCAGGTGAGGCCACCTCGTCCCTGGCTCCCAATGTGGGAGAGCTCACAGTCACTTTGCAAGCACCCTACCCTGCAGAGGCTGCCGCCACTCTGCAGATACCCGGCCCCGATGTGCTCTCCACTGTTCCACCTGGTCCCTGCTGTGGCTTGCTTCCTGCTTCAGGGTCCCGCATTGCTGCACCAATCACCAGACCTATTCAGAGTAACTGCTCCACTCACGTTCTAGCCCCGGTCAGCTCACCCACCAGCTTCAGCCCGGACAATTTCTGCCGGCCTGCCTGCGGCTGTCGGCCAGATGGTTCCAACCTGCTTGCCTGATCCCCTGTGGCCATCACCTCGTCGACTCCTGCCTACTCACCTGCGGCCCTGCCTTGTCCACTCCTGCCCCAGTAGCTGTATAGAGCTGTGGCCATAAGGTTGTTGGTGCCTATCGCAGTGGCAATCCCTAAACCTGGTGGTAGACACCAACAATCAAGGGAGCTGTCAGGCTGAAGAAGGAGGCCTTCTGCACTTGACTGTCTGGTGAGACTCTGGACAGCTGATAAGTACTGGCAGGCCAAGTGGAATGCATCTTCTGAAGCAAAGAAATTTGGAGAGGCCATAGAAAATGACTTTCGTTTAGCCTCAAAAAGATACTGGCAAACTGTCAGGCAACTCAGAAGAGGGAAGCAGAACCCATGATGTTTACAGTGAGGGGGATAACTTGACCTCAACTGGGGATTTAGTCAGGCAGTGGAAGGAGTATTTTGAGGGCCTCCTGAATCCCACAGATATGCCTTCTCTGGAGGTAGAGCTAGAAGCCAGAGCTAGAAGACTCAGAGGAGGACTTATTTACCCTGAGTTCTTGAAAGCTCTGGATGTTGTTCGGCTATCTTGGCTGACACGCCTTTGGATTAGCAGACTGGGGTGGTGGTCCTAATGTTTAAGTAAGGGGACCTGAGGATGTGTTCCAATTTCAGGGGGATCACACTCCTCATCCTCCCTGGGAAAGTCTATGCTGGTGTAATAATTTACACTGAGCAAATTTTATGATCAAAATTTCAATGTGGAGGGCAGACAGGTTATGGCAGGCGGGTGCTGCTCCTGATGGCAGGCGAGAACGGTGGGCACAACGTCTCAATTTTTATTTTTTTTTTGGGGGGGGGGGGTCTCCAGGCAGAATAAAAAGTGCCAACAAGACCATATCATCTGCAAAAAAATGAAGACACGATCCTGAAGTCACCAAACCAGACCCCCTCCGCCACCTATGACCTCAAGTTCTAGTATTTAAACTAATATTGAAGTAGCCATTTGACCCGAACATCATCTAGACCTGTTACAATTTCAAATGAATGATATATGTCATTTAGATGTAAAATGCATGCATTTTAGCGTTTATATAAATATCAATAAGTTGCTAAGAGTTGCAAAATAAAATTTTCAAGTGCCTAAATTTTGTTGCTAATCAAGGTGTTAAACCTAGCACCATAATTGCTAAGTTGGCAACACTAAGAATAGTTAAGCTTTTCTTTAGGCTGACCGCGCTGTCGCGGCATTGGCTAATAACGCTGAATCAGGGATGATGTGCCGTTGCTTTCTGCACTTTAAAGTTTGGCGAGGAAATTTTTGTGTGTTCTGCTTGTTGCATCAAAACGGAGATGTGTGCTTCTATTTTGTATTTGTGTACGTGTTATATGTGTTATGTCTTTGTTAAACTTTTTTGTTAGCATGATAGTAATGTGTTTAACACTAATGTTCGAACTGTGTGTCAATTCAACTACAAGTCAAATTTTGCCAGTGCGTTATTTAAATCTTTCCTGAGGAGTACTGTCGATATAAATTTTAGTTACTGAGTACTGCATCGATTAACCTTAGTACATGTTAGTTTATGGTAATAGTAAGAGCTTTGCCAACTTTGGTCAGCTGGCTGCACTCACATGAACACGCATTTAAATGTAGGTAACAGTTTTATTACCTTGTAAATAGTCTGTACAGTACGGTGTGCATACTACCTCAACATTAATTTTAGGTTTATAATGGAATAAACATGTGGCTTTGCAGCGCATGCTGCACTAAAATCAAAGCATATTCTGAAGCCCCATTTACTCCAAGAGACACTAAGCTTCCCTGGAAATGAAGCTTTGAAGCATTAAATTACCAATAACCTTAGCATATGTTAAGGAGGACGGCACATTTTCTGTGAATGGGATCAGAAGTGCACGATTCATTGTGGTGTTTAAGCATGCTGTCAGTGTTTACGCATGCTGTCATTGTTTACATTTTGTTTCCAATGCACCATATCTTATGATTGAGTTGGTGTTGTCGTCGTACAGTCTGCATACCTGTCATAGCCAAGATTATTAGATCCATATCGCACAGTGTGAGAGGTAATGATTTTATAAGATTACTGAAATCACACATTGTGTACCGGGCATTACACTTTAGAAGCATGGTGTGGCACGCTGAAAGTAAGCATGTCTTCCCTGCATTGTTTAATATGACTGTTTGCAGTTACAGTAAGCTGCACTTACCTCTAGATCAGGGGTATCAAACTCCAGTCCCGGAGGGCCGGTGTTCTGTCGACATATGCTGCCTTGTCGAAAAATGCTACCGTAGTGCTAATAGATAGCCCTAACCCTAACTCTTATTATAACCCTAACCCTAACCCCCCAAAACCCCTAAAACCCTTACCTTAACCCTAACCCTAACCCCTAAAACCTAACCCTAATCCCAAAACGGTGGAATTGCACATGCGCAGAAAGGCTCGATAGCACGTCTCGATAGGTAGTATTTTCCGACAGAACACCTGTCCTGGAGTTTGACACCCCTGCTCTAGATGTTTCCTTAGGTTGGACATGGACTGTTTAGATGTCGACAACATCTTTACAGCTGGTAAACACGCACTGCATTGCACAGTTAAATTTGTGCCTTTTTCCGTAATGTATCGAAAATGTTTTTTATATTATCAGCAATGGAATGCATTCCTTTACTTGTCTGCCATTGCCTGCAACAGAAACTCAGACAGCTCAGGCAAGTTAATTAGCAAAATGCAAATGTAGCGCGACAGGATAACCAATCAGAAGCATCGAATAGTTTCAAACTTTCGGCTTATGGAAGGAAATAGCAAAGGAGGATGTTTCGCATAAGAAAAACATGAAAAGCAATAAAAATACTGTTATTAAAGATATTCACATGGTTTTGCATACAATCTTATGATGTAACTAAAATTGTAATCATGAATATTTCCATAAGTAACTAATTTAATTACACTTTTTTCTCTAGTAACTGTAATGGATTACAATTACATTTGTTTTGTAATTAAATTACTTAACACCGTTACATGTAACTCGTTACTCCCCAACACTGTACTCAAGATACCACTTAAGCTTCTGTTACGTCACAGCTGGCGTCATGGAGTCTAACCCTAAGCCAGGGATCGCAGGGTGGACCCTGTTTCGCTACCCTTAGTTAACAAGAAACAAGATTAAACCATGCTTTGTTTTTTAATTGTGTTCTAATTTGAGATTTTTTATTGGATCTTAGGAAGATTAGTTCAAGTTTTAACTAGTCTTAAATATCCTCATTAACAGAGGAGACAAATTTTCCTGTTAGAAAATATTTTTGTGTGTACTGTACCTTTAAAATAGTACACTGGAGGATGACAACGCATGAACCCAGATTAAAGCATCCAGCTGCATGAAAACAAAGGCGAGTCTCTCGCTGCCATCATATTGTTGTCAATGTTTGACTGATCCTCCGCCTTTGCTGGAAATTTTTAACATTCCTATGGGAAAGCATGCACTCGTGACAGTCATTTCAGTGAGATCCAAAGGTCACCTCACCAGCCTGGCACAAAACCTCAGAATGTCTCCTGTGCTGGTCACCGCTTTATTTCTCTGTGTCTTAGGCAGGACTCACGCGGTGTACAAAAAGTGGGTCCCCAACACCAATTTTGAGAATGGAACTAACTGGGACAAGGGAACAGTGCCTTGCAGTAGTGATCGGATTCAGTTCTTACCTCAGAAGGAAGTGTCTGTGTATGTGGAAACCATCCACGGCATTCAGGAGATGAACCTGCCTGTGGACGGGGAGTTTATTTTGCCCCAGGGGGCAGGTTTCGCTGCCAGCAACGGCCAGAACGATGACTGTGGACCGGGATCTGAGGTTACATTCAAGGACACTGAACTGCTGCTCTGGTTTGACCCAGCCCAATGGCAGGCGGCCTCCTCCTGGGACAACCTAGAGAAAGGTCCTTTCCTGTTCTCAGTGCATGGGGAAAGCGTGCCATGCCCGCAGGACGACGTGGTCTTCTGGGCGGACTCCTCATTCCGGGTGGACACCACGGCCAACCAGCTAAGCGTGCCCGTGAAAAGCGTGTCCGTGCTGGGGAACAGATTCAGTTCCTCTGACGACTTTGCTCAGTACCTGAGCTCACACTCGGGCCGGCTTCAGTTCCATGGAGCTTCCAAAGTCCATGTTGGTGAACCAGGCTGCAGCGACAAAATGGGCTGTGTTTGTGACAATTCTGCGAACCATGACAGGATCTGCTCGGCCGTGAAATGCGCGCCCACAGACTGTAAGAAGCCCCTGAGAGCTGCGGGACACTGCTGCGATGTGTGTGGTGCAATCGTGCATTTGCGATGCAAAGTTGGCTTTGACCTGTCAACATACCAACAACGGCTGCATCACCTCTTCCTCATCCAGCCATCCTATCAATCTGTCCAGCTGGCCATGTCAAGGCTCTCTACATTATGGCCACTCAGGCTGTTATCTCAGGAAGTGGTGGCTGAAATTCAGGTGCTGATCCTGGATGGGGAAACGGGGGGCGAGTCTGGTAGGGTAGCAGAATCTCTGGCTCGTGACATCCTGAGGGATGTCAGCTCCCAGGGAACACGTCTAGGCATTGAAGGTGCAGACTACCAGGCGTCATCAGGCGGCAGCAGTACAGAGGGGACCAGCAGCAACGCAGGAGCTGTGGCAGGAGGCGTGGTGGGGGTCCTGCTACTGGTGGCTTGCTTGCTCCTTCTGGCCGTCCTCATCCATCGGGGCATCATCAAGACCCCTAGCCTTCTCTCCCTGTCCAGCTGCAAGAAGGGCAGCGAGATCGGGGAACTGGGTGGGCCCCTGGATCATGGATTTGACAACCCCATGTTCGACAAACCTACACTGATGCCAGCTGAGCCTGAATTATACGTCAGAGAAACAGGTGGCTCCATTGTTATGACCAATGCAGGCATTCACTTTGTGAATCCCAGTTATGATGAAACCGATTTTGAGACCTGAGCTTTTTCTCAACATCACTGATTTGACTTGACTCAATCTAGAAACACCTACGATGATCTTCCGAAGCATTTCTCTGGCTAATTGTCACGACTTGTGCTGTTTTGTCTCCAATCAGTAAGTTCAGCCTAAACTTGATTTTAACTTACTTTATCTGCTATAAGAAGAAGATCATATTATTTAAATATCAGCTCTGTGTTCCTATTTAGAGTTTTATACATTTTTTATGTGAAATTTCCAGAGTATCTAGTCCATTTCATGTGATCTTTGTCACCTAAGCATATTCCATTATAGAAAAACACAAATAAAATCTTCTGAATGTGAATCTCTGAAATATTGTCATAAACCAAACATCTTTCAGTTTTGTGCATAATTTACGATAGGAACACTGACTGTAGTGGTCGTCTTCGGTTGCGAACGTTATTCTTTTTGGCACAATCTAAACATTTGACCACTTCTGTGAAATGAACTGTTTTACGCGTTAAAATGGTAGGTTACCAGTCACGGTAAAACAACCGTGTGGCTCCCAACGTCCACGTCTTTATTTTCACATTCAAAAAAAACTTTATTGTTCCTCTGACCCATATCCCTTACGGCAGTCGCAAACCAAATAAACTAACTGGAGAAGCACTTTCCTGTATGAAATGCTACATACATTTCAAATTGTAATGGCAGGTTTAAAACAACATATTCTAACCATTTAATTAAACAAAAATTACACCATTCTGCATAAATGGCGCTTACACTGACCTGGACTTGGATGTATAAAAGTAAACTTACTAAAATGTGTACTTTGACTTTATTACTGCAAAAGCATGTGTAATGACAATGGTTTAACAGTTAACAGTAATTAGTGCTGGTATAAACATTTAGCAGGGAGTGCATGTTTTTACTGAGGTTTTCCAACACAGAAAACTGGTACCACTGTGTCCATGTACCTTTGCTTAGTTTAAATTACTTATTCTTAGAAATGCATTCATCATTTAATGGTGGGATTATTTTCCAGTTCAGTGGTTAGCAAAGTGGCCCAGTATCTAGATATGTCACAAAATATCATTGGTTCTCAAAAAATAAATGAATTTATTCTGTACAAAATATCTATCCATTTTGCAACCAGTTATCCTGGTGAAGGTGGCAAGGTGCGGCCTGGAATGTACAGGACTGGCGTAGACCCAAACAGAACCGTATAAATCAGCAACATCTGAATTTGTTAAGAACATAAGAACATAAGAACTATACAAACGAGAGGAGGCCATTCGGCCCATCGAGCTCGCTTGGGGAGAACTTAACTAATAGCTCAGAGTTGTTAGAATCTTATCTAGCTCTGATTTAAAGGAACCCAAGGATTCAGCTTGCACTACATTATCAGGAAGACTATTTCATACTCTGACTACACGCTGTGTAAAGAAGTGCTTCCTTAAATCCAGTTTGAAATGTTCTCCCGCTAATTTCCACCTATGGCCACGAGTTCTTGTATTGGAACTAATGCTGAAGTAACTATTCGGTTGAACAGCATCCAAACCTGTTAGAATCTTATAGACCTGGATCATGTCCCCCCTCAGTCTCCTTTGCTTGAGGCTGAACAGATTTAGCTCAAATAACCTTTCCTCGTATGACATTCCTCTAAGACCAGGAATCATTCTTGTGGCCCTACGCTGAACCTTTTCTAAGGCCGCTATGTCCTTTTTAAGATATGGTGACCAAACCTGCACACAATATTCTAGGTGAGATCTCACCAAGGAATTGTATAATCTTAGCATTACCTCCCTTGACTTAAACTCCACACACCTGGAGATATACCCCAACATCCTATTGGCCTTTTTTATTGCTTCCCCGCACTGGCGAGAATGAGACATGGAAGCATCAACATACACACCAGCTGTACTGTATGTGAGCTGCTTGTTGATAAGAGCATCTACTAATCAAAATGTACACTGTGAATGGATGGAGGGTGACAGGGAGGAGGGGGCTGGGTGGAGGGTGACAGGGAGGAGGGGGGCTGGATAGAGGGTGACAGGGAGGAGGGAGCTGGGTGGAGGGTGTCTATATGGAGGGAAACTAGGTGGAGGGTGACTGGAGGGAGGGAGACAGGGAGGATGGCGATGTGGTGGAGGGAGACAGGGTGGAGGAAGGTGACATAAGTGGGGAGTCCTCAATTGTAGGGGCCTCTTTGGGGCTGAGCAGCAGGATGGCACCCTCCTTCTTGGGGAGCCAGACGGCTGGGTGGAGAGGCTCCAGGAACTCGGCTCGGAACTGATGGAGGAGCATCATGCTGTCGGTCACACCATAAAAAGCCAGCTGTCCTCCATCATAGTCCACATAGACCCCGATGCGCACAAGCTTGCTTGCTGCCAGGGGCATCTCTACATCCGCATGCCAGGCAGAGAAGCCGTTGCTCCTCCACTGTAGACACCAGGAAAAGTCGTTGCCCGTGATACAGCCATTGCTCTCTTGGCTCTTGCGGTTGATTCTCTTGTAGCTGAGGCCCATGTGGGCACCATCCCCCTTGGCTTCCACCTCAAAGTAATGGCGGCCAAGGTAAAAGCTCTCCACGGCCAATGCCTGGCGCCAGTGCTCAAATCGTTCAGGGGAGTCGGAGTAACTCTGCTGCCACGGTGTGCTGTTGGTCACTCTCCTATTCTCCATCGTTAGGCGCAGGAATTTGTGAGCAGTGTTTGGGTCAAAGGTCAAAGAGGCACCATCTACAGGGTATGCCCAAAAAATACAGCAGGTTATGCACAACTGCTCACAGGTGTTTGATTTAACCCAGTTACAAGCTTCCACAAAGTTATGGAGTGGGATTGTCCAATGTCTGTTTAATTTTGAAAATTCTAATTGAATTATATTGCTGTTCTGTTCAGAAGAAATCCTACATGCTTTTTTGCACTTTTAAAAAATGTCATAACAAAATTCATCAATACAGTAAGAGCACTCACATTTCAGGAAGTCCTCTCGAACCTGGGGGTGGGGCTCAGCAGCAATGACTGAGATTGTACTTCTTATCGCCAGCTTCTCTGGATGGTGGAGAAGCAAACAGACTGACACAACATGACTGCTACAACATCCTTTCATCAGAATCAGGCCTTTGGCTTCGTAAGGGTGGGGAAGGACCCAGCTTTGTACTCCATTTGTATAGAGTTAGTATATAAAAACGACAGTAGAGTTCAGCAATTGTGTAGCATGACTGTATAACAGGAAACTAACACCTAATTAAATTAAAACCTACTGCAGCAGCACAGGTGAGCTTGGATGGTTCAGGGTGATCAGTTCACACACACCCAGTGAACGATACATAATGACAAAACGATTGTGTCTGACAGGAATGTGTGTGTGTGGTTAGATCAATCGGAGGAGATGTGCTGTTGAGAGGTAAACAGATTTTTCTTTCTCTTTGTTCATTTGGTGTTTTGTGAGACTGTGTGTGATTTTGTTGCCATGTGAATTGTTACTCTCCCACCTGGTTTCCTGCTGACCCACTCACACTATGATTTCTGGCTCCGCTATTGATAATATTTTTTATTTTAATCAAAATTAAAATGAACCAACAAACATAATACATGAAAACTAAACTGAAATTAAAACAAGACACTCCTACTAAAAATCAGCAGGAACAAAAATTTGTAGTGTCCGTGTTTCAGCTTCTCCGTTATAAAAGCCTGTGTCTGTTTTACAGTGCTCAGCTTTGCCATTATTCATAACACATAGTGTGCTGTGTGTTTTCATTTCAGGGCCTCTTTCTTTTAAAAACTAAAACTCCCTGACTAGAGGTCCCCGACTTTGGAACTCCCTTCCCCAGTGACATTTGTCTATCAGTTATAAACCTTTTTCTTTGCTCAAGCCCGATGTTCCTTATCCATAATGTGCTTTGTGGTCTTGTTATCAGTTTACTTTATTCTATGTAAGCCTCTCTGAGATCATGAAAAGTTGACATGGGGGGGGGGGTGTCACCAACTGGAATGCTGAGATGTTTCCCTGTGTGGTGAGCGCACCAATGTGAGGTACCAGAGCATGATTCCCAACCTGTCTTGAAATGACCTGCTGTATAAACTGTATCTACGGTTGTTAGTTAGGTAGCTAACATGTTAGCTATATATGCTAATTAACAATAAACTACACAACAACGTTTTTCCTCGAAGTGTATTTGTATGTGGATAGAGCCCTGCCCAGGCCGTCATTCCCAGAGGCTCTCTTAGCTAGTGTGAGCAGCACATGCACTCACCCCTCTTGTGGGTCTCGATGAGCTTCTCCTTATACATGGAAGGCAGCTTCTCACACAGCTCCTGGGTGGATTCAACAACCACAAGGCTCACTGCAGCCAGCTGCTCCGTCAGGCTGATGTACACGCCAGGGAGACTGAAATCCAGGCTGCCTGCCTTCAACTGCAAGTACTCCTGCAACCACCAGAGGGAGCACAGACGAGCTTTTAATGCTCTCAGCAAATACTTTGTCAGGAAATAAGCAAGACTCAAACAACCAGAAAAAGTAACTTAATATGGGAGAGCTTTCTCATTCGATTTCCTTAAATTTTTATGTCTTGTGGTCATGTCGGACTGGCTGTTGGGAAGTTTGCGAATTTTCCCAATGTGACAGTCTTGTCAGGGCCGATCTTCATGCCAAATGTCTGTATAATTTAGCATACATGATCTCGACCAAATGTCTGCTCCTACTTGTGGGAACTTGTGGACAAACTTGGAAAAAACAAGCCAGCAGGTATTTTAGAAAATTTCGAACAACAAGGCATGTGTTTCAGTTTTATGTCAAACATTTCAATCTTTATATGATTTTATCTTTGCTTAGCAGACTATGTCAGTGAATTTCCTTGTTTCCAGCTTTTTTTTCCCCTCCAGATCACTGCAGCTATGATCAGTGATGAGCAAATGGTGGGAAAAGACTCGGAAGTCCGGTTTTTTAGTTCTTGTTAATTATCTGATCAGTAGGAGGATGGGCTCCCCCTTTGAATCTGGTTCCGAGAATGTAAAGTGCTTTGAGACAATGTAATATTGTGAAAATATGCTATATATGCATTCTTTCTCGAAAGTGATCTCTGCTCTGCATAGTCCTGGTTCTTTCTGCTGTCTTTCAGTCTTTTTGACCCACCTGTATGAAGTCGATATCATTATTATTCCTGCTCATCTTGTCTATCTGGGCCCGTATCTTCTTCAGATCAGTGCTCTTCTGCTCCAGGTGTAGCCGGACGCCCTCAGCTTGCCTTGTGGCCTTCCTCACGTCCTCCTCCAATGCTTCCGTCATCGCTCTGTGGGCCTTCATCACAGCGGCCGCCAGCTCCGAAAATTGACCGCTGATCAGGTTGAAGACGTCGGCCACTGAACGCTAAGGTTGGGAAGATATGGTAGAGCAATAGTGAGGAAGTGGTGGTCATGGCATGCAGGCACAGGATAGACTAAATTCAACCTGGGTTTGTATTTGCGACACCCCCTGAGATGATGAGATGGTTACAGCAATGCAAGTCATCCACTTAACTGGATCTATGTGTCCTTCACTAGTCATGTGAAAATAATTACAATCACCAATGGCTGTAGGTCAAAGGTTTAGACCCCAGAAGGGGCTATACTATTGTTTCTTCCAAGTATCCTATCTACAACACCTATTATTATAATATAGTACAGTGCTGTAAGGACCTGGAGGTTCAGCAGGCTGGACTGGGCGGACAACACAGCAGCACTCTAACAGAAAGGCCAGAGCAGACTCAGGTCTTTTTTGCGTGTAGTAAGCTGCTGTGTATGTTTTATCGTTCATGTTTCCCTGGCAAGCTGCAGTAATATTAACATCAACAAACATGAATGCCACAACATGTGAATTCAACATTATTCCCTTCAACTGAAGTATATTTTCTGTATATTGCAACGGACACGCAACAGGTGTGCCACAAAAGAGAACTTTAATGGAGTCTGTATGGCCAGAACCCACATCAAACACAAACCATAACGAAGAACACTAAACTGCTAGCTGTCTGCTCTTACCTGCCTCACCCCCAGGCATTCCCTAGTATGTATAGGGTAGTGCAGTGCCCACCACTTCTCCTTTCCCCCCACTCCGCAGGTGCCCCCATTCCTGCTATCTCTGAAACCACCCAGAGATAGGCTGAAGAGGGCCAGGAGGTCTGCCCTTTAATAAGCACCCCAAGTCCTCCAGCCACTACAATATCTTTAATGTAAATAGTTTCGATTTCCAACACAAAAGAGAATCTTTCAAGTTATGAAACTGTCTTTCAGTTTCTGATTGTTCGATATTTCCTGTCATGGGGGGGGGGGGGCAGTTCAGACAGTTCATAAAACTGTAGTTTTATTACTATAGTTAAGGCACAATAACTCTGTTGCCAGTGAATATCAGGTTAGAAAATACAATTTTAATGGGACTTCCGGTATAAACCACACCCACTTCTGGTCTTCTATCTGCATACAGATACAGAGAGAGATCATTTTGTTTGTTGAACAGATACAGAAACAGATAATGACATCGCTGTGCAGCTCTACTCTCCCTTAGCAGCTCTAGCCACTGGCTCATTCCACCATGTTGGGCTAAAAATGCTACTGGGAACCGTTCCTCTTTGCTCTGTGTGCTTTGCAGACGAATTTCCTCATGGCATTAATTAGGTTTACTTAATCTAACCAACTTCAACTGAAGTAAAACAGTTGTACTACATTTCTATGTGCATGTGCTCAGTAAGGGCGAGGCTGCAGTGTACCTTCAAGGACATGATGTTGTCCTGCAGCTTGACGATGGCATTCTCCGCAGAATTGGCCACTTTCTCTACCTCTGCCTCTTTTTGCCGTAGCTCTTTCTGGACACATATGCCAACAGGCAAAAGGCAGGAGAGATCGCTCTTAGAGATGGCAGGACACGCACAGACATGACACACCGAATTCCATCCGCTGAGAGGTGCTACATGTGATCAGAGGCATGCTGTCACTGGTGGGCTTTTCTTCCCCAGGTAGCTTGCATACCATTCAAGGCTCTGCATGTTAACTGATCATGTGTCAAGATAAATATTTAGATTCAGAATTTGTAGCCACGGTTTAACTAAAAACAAAGCTAGATTAAATGGATTAAATTTAAGAGTCGAATCTCCAATAAAAAGCCAAGCGCTTTGAAAAGTAAAAGTTAAAATAATGTTAATTATATTTGGATAAGTGCTTAGTGTGTGCACTTAATATTTGGCTCATCATTGTGAAAAGCTATCTTCATTTTTACTTTCACTTTGCGGAATCCCCAAGCATGGGCCTGTGACTATATTGTCAGGCCTCATGTATCTTACCCAGCTTTCAAAGGGGATTACAGGTTGTGCTTTTCTTTAAAGAATTAATATGGTATCTGAATGATGGCAATGTAGCATGTTCCATAACCATGGCCTCTGACAGCTATGATGTCTAGGAAACAATGTGCGAAATACGGATGGGGGGTCCGACACCCCGATTAACCCATCAGACACCCTGAAAGCCTCAAAAGCAAAATTTTAAGGTGGTCTCAAGATCATTATTGTGCAACAATAGGGAGATGGGGACCCCCCCGAATATTGACAGGTATTTCACACACTGCCAGGAACCATCCTGTTAATGGTTAATTGATGCTGGTTAATGACTTAAGTTTTTCCAGGAAGTTATTTCCTCTAAAACCATTTAAATCAAAGGCATACAAGCCCTGGAGCTTTCATGCAATTTGGTGTGTTTGGAAAGCCCCACACCCTCTGTGTGTTCTGGCCTTAAGCCTGGAAGGTCGGCCCATCGTGGACATATAATGACTAAAAAATGACTGGATATTGGTATAATCCAAGAAGTTATGAAACATGCAACCCTGGGATTCAGTTGCATTCCTACTTCTGCACAGTCTGTTCCACAGCCGTGGACACTGAGGGCCACTAGGTAAAATCTACTTCCCAGTTACTGAACGCCAGGATATATGACTATAATGTACTGTAGAATAAAGGAAAAAAGGAAATAGATCATTTCCTGGAAATAGAGAGGGACTTATTCTACTGCATGCTGGTTAATAGTAATTTAAGTACATGGTATCAGTTACTGGTCTAAAATGAGACCATTCCCAAGAGTAAGGAAATGCTTCTGTAAATAAGCAGTTACAACTGGGACACACCTTTACTTAGGACTATTAACAGAAGAAAAACACAATAGTATTGTACAGCAATGAATAATACCTCCATCAGTCTCCCATAACTGCTTACCCAGTACATTATTACACAATTATGGGATATAATTCAATTCCGCACAATGATGTTTATTTAAGGGATTATTTTAGTAAAAACTGGCTTTTGACAGGTTTCTTGCTATGATACTTGTAATATTAAAGTCTGCCCTCTTTATTTCCGCACCAGCATGGCTCTCGGCGTGACTGCTGTGCTGCATGCACCCCTACCTCCATCTGCTTGCGCACCTCCCCCAGGGGTGTGACCTGGTGGCCCTGGTGATTCTCATCAGCGCATGCCCTGCACATGCAGCAGCGGTCCTGGTGACAGTACAGGTCCAAGGGCCTCCCGTGGCCCTCGCAGGCAGGGCCCTCAATGTTGCACAGCGGTTCGACCAAACGGTGTTTCTGGAAGCGCGTGTTCTCCAGGTGAGGCCGCAGGTGCTCCAGGCAATAAGACACCTGGCAGGTAAGGCAGGACTTGAGCGCCCTCCTGGGGACCTCGATGCATGAGTCGCACCTCACCCCGTCTGTCTCCAAGCTCTCTGCTTCACCCGCCTCCTGCGCCTCTTCCTTTTTGGACTCGGCTGGGCCTCGAGGGTCTGCTGAAGGGAAAGGTCTCGATTCTGCACTGTTGTCCCTTGCACTCTGGCAGGAGAGCCATTCCAGAATATTTTTACCACTTGAGTCACCGTTCATGTCTTCAGGATCTTTCTGGTTCTGCTGGTTCCTGTGCTGCAGGGACCCTTGCAGGCCGTCCTTCGATCGCATTGCTCTGGTGCCCTCGATTGCGGTGGCCGGGCCTGAGACCTCTGCAGTGGTGTCTGCCATGACTCCACAGACATATACTCACTCTCGTGTTTGGCTGAGCTCTACACCAGGGAACCCGAGAATGAAAAAGTTAATCAGGCCACACCTCCAGCGTGCTTCTCGGAAGGGCCTCCCCTCTTCCCTCCTCTCCTGCCTTCAGCCCTGGGGCAGTGCAGGAGGAATGGGAAGACAACCCCGAAAATCCCATCAGCAGAAATGCTTTGTGTGTCTGTTGTCTTATGTGTCCAGTGAAATTGGGTCAGGATCAGGTCAGTATCAGGCCTAGTGTCTGTCTGAGATAATATGCATACAGTAACTGGATAATTCTGGAGACCAATGCCAATCGATCACTTATACGGATCGAAAAGGAGGCACGTTATTTGAAGGGGGAAAGAGCCCATTAAGTGAGTGTCATAGTGGGCCAATCCAGTTAGTCACTGGCTATTGCTGACCTGTAATCACATATTTGCATGTCAGATAGCAATACTGAGCCCTGATTACACTGACATGTTCAGGCAGATTGAAATTGAAAGGCCCAAAATTGTTCAGGGTGTCCTTTCTGGGGTTGCTCAGCTGTGGGTTGGGAGCAATAGAACAATTTCTTTGGCTTCACATTAATTGTGTAAATACATTCTTCCCCTTTATCCCCGGGAGCGTATATCTGGGTGAAGAGGTCCAACCTGAGAGAGTCCGTAATGATCCTGGAGCGTCTCTGCTGTGCCTGAAGAAGTGGGCTCCTGCAACATGAGCTTCATATTTGTTAGACTGCCATATACATTTCCCTACACTTGTCTGGTCTTGTAGCATAACCTAATAGTCTTTTTTTTTCATTTTTTATGGGCTGTGTAATTCAGACAACAGAATACCTCATTCTTGGAAATACGTATCTTGCAAAAAACGGGAAGGGGCGAGGGCAGAATGTGGGGGCGGGGGGGGGGGGGGGGGGGGGGGGGGGGGGGGGGGGGGG